GGTGCAGACATCCCTCAAAACCCCAGGCTCTCCTACTGGGGACCCATCTGAGTGCCTGCCTGGTCCTAGGCCGACTGATCAGAAGCCCATAGCTGGTGACATCAGTGGGAACAGAGATGTGTGACACTTCCTGTCCACCTTGGCTTTCTGAGGATTAGTCACCCCCTGTCCTACCAAAGCCGCCAGACACAGGCTGAGGAGGAGGGGGAGGGGGTGCAGTCTGGCTCCTCCCAGAATGGCTGGTGGGGTGCTGGTGTCTGCAAGCCACCCTTAAGCCTGATTTCTGTGCATCCTGCCTGAATTCACACCTACACACACATCCATGGTTTCTGCTGGGCTCTTCAGGTCGGGGGGCCCGCAGATGCCGCAGCCCCAGAGCCCAGTTTCGCATTGACAATCACAGGGCTCATTTCTGGCTCTAGTGCTGCCCTCCGCAGGGGTCAGAGGTGGGAAACCTGGAACTGGGGACAGTGTGGGAGACACGGGCTGGGGGCCAGCACGGGGTCGCCGTGTCTCCGTTGAGAGAGATGACTCAGCGCAGGACTTGTGACCTCGCTGGGCAGAGGGCTCAGGAAATCTGACGGCTCATCGGAGCATCATGCACCCACCTTCTGCCAGCACCCCACACACCCACATGCACACCACAGGCTGCCAGGCTGTGTTCTCTGGGTGGGATCTTTGTTTGGATCGAGGGTAATTTCATTTCATCCAAGCACCTTGTTGGCCACACAAACCAGACACAAGCTGAGGGGGGCACAGGATCACTTCCCCGAGAACAAAGGGAGATTTGTCGGGGTGGAGAGGTTTAAAGTTAATTACTCCTAAAGGGTAATGATAATCACATCAGCTAACATGAAGTGGTATTGCTCAGTACTTTTGAATGTTCCTGATTTTTGTGGTTTTAAACGTTTAAAGCAAGCTTACAATCCATGACATTTAGGTACTTATTTCTTTGGATAACTTTGTATATACAGATGACCAGATCTTTGCCTTTTCTTCATTATAAATGGAACATGCTCTGTGGTACAGTATAACCTTGTGATAGCTTGCTTCCTCCTACATTGCCAGTTTTATGGAAATCGCTTTCTTTTTCCTTCTTTTTTTCTCCTCCTCTAACTGCAGAAGAGTTCGATCTGGCAGTGGCATTTCTGCCATAAGCTCAGCCACTGTAGACCAGAGGTTACCAGAGGAACCAGTTTTAGAAGACGAACAGCAACAACTAGAAAAGAAATTGCCTGGTAAGGTGGTCTTTATGCTGTGTTATACAGGGAATTTCCTACTTCTTTCTAAGGGAAAGGTGGAGGTCAAAATTAAAATCTAGCATTTTTGCACTGTTCTTTTGACTAACATTAGCTTGAAAGGAGAAGCTTTTACTGAGCATATAAAGTTAGCTATGTGTAGAGGACTAAGAGGACTCTGTAAGTGCATCTTTGTTCTAATTTCATTTACAATCTGATTATATAGTGCTAAACAAAATTTCCTAAGTGTTCGGTATAGAACTGTGAAATTTGGTAAGTGGTGATTGCTTAATAGCACTAGTGCAGAAATAGAATGCCTACTATTATTTTTCTTACCTTGTGAAAGAATGGAAAGTCTTTAATAGTATGAACTTGTTTTACATAATTCTTATTTATATTTCTAATAGATCATTTCTAATTAAGATTATTTAAAATAGGTCATTAGAGAGCTCTGGTAGCATAATTCATAGAGAGTTGCACTGCTAACCCAAGCTTCTCTGGTGGTTCTCTGAGCTTCTCAGCTGGTTTGAATCCACCAGCAGCTCCTAGGCAGAAGGATGGACAATCTTTCATGCAGTTTACAGCCTCGGATCCAGTGGAGAGTGAGCCATGAGTTGGTTTTGACTCTACATCAATGTGAGAGATATTGTAAATATTTATAATACATAATTTCATCATTATGTTACACTAATCTTAGCACATTTGTAAACTATTAATGATGACATAATTATTGATAGTAAACAGCAAATGAAATTTATTTTGGAGTCTCAGGGTAAAGGAAGGAGCCCTGGTGCCATAGTACATCATGTATTGAGCCACCAACCAAAAGGTCAACAGTTTGGATAAGCCAGCCACTCCTCAAGAGAAAAATAGGTAATCTCCTCCCATAAAGATTTGCCACTTCATAAACTTCATGGAAGGTTGCTATGAGTTATAACTGACATGATGGTATAATTCAAATACCAATATATGTTGCTGCATTAAAAGTGAACAGGTTTTAAATAGGGAATTTAAGACATCCATGTAAACAGTCATTAGAGCAGGGTGTGAGTGCGGTATGTTCATGGTACAGACGCACAGCAGCCGTGTGCATGGTCAGTATAGCCTGGGGCTCATGGAGCATGAGGGATGAAATGCAGACTGCTCCCCTTTCCATCTCTGCTTTGAAAAGTTCTCCTCTTCATTAAGACTGGGAGGTAATACCATTTATAAGTAAAGGCTGTGGCAGAACCATCTCATAGCTGACCTTCCAGCAGCTTTTCAGGGACAGTGAATCACATGGAAGGAGATTGTCCATCCTTCTTCTGCAAAACAACTATTGGACCCAAGCTACCTGCTTTTGGGTTGACAATGCAACTCCTTACCATTAAGCCACCAGAGATCCCTGTAAGTAAAGGGAGGACGGACCAGTCCCTAAACCAACACCATGAAATAGATGAGAAGGGTAGAGTAACAGAGACGGTAAGTAGATTCAGGTGATGATGAGGATCTACTTTATTGTTCTAGAAACAGTGTTGGGTGTTGAGAAGAGTGTATGGAAGTAAGCTGTGAAGGGCTTTGTTCTTCGTGCTTATGTTACAAGGGCATAGGAAGATAGTAGGAAGGAAAAAGAAACAGTTACATGTTTGTGTTTATACCACAAATTTCAAATATACCAATGTTTTTTTTCCTTTGAAAATAACCAATAAAACCAACCCCACTGCTGTCAGGTCAAGGCAGACAGGCAACCCTGGGACGCCCTGGGTTATAGCCGACTTGGCAGGAGACGGCGTCATCTCTCTCTTGTGAGTGGCTGGCAGGTTCACAAATGCCGACCTTTTGACTAACAGTCCAGATATATGGGAAATCATGACTTTTTTTATAACTGATCTGATTCTTGATTTTGAAGTAACATTTGAAGATAAGAAGCGTGAGAATTTTGAACGTGGCAATCTGGAACTGGAGAAGCGAAGGCAAGCTCTTTTGGAACAGCAGCGCAAAGAGCAGGAGCGCTTGGCACAGTTAGAACGTGCGGAGCAGGAGAGGAAAGAGCGCGAGCGCCAGGAACAGGAGCGGAAACGACAGCTGGAACTGGAGAAACAGCTGGAGAAGCAACGGGAGCTGGAACGTCAGCGAGAGGAAGAGAGGAGGAAGGAGATAGAAAGAAGGGAGGTAAGCAGCTGGGGAGCAGCCAGCCCCATAGCTCCAAGTGTGTGAACTCTCCATCTAACGGACAGGAAGACACATGACCTTTTAGATAGGGCTTCTGAGTATTATTCCCTTTTAAATATACACCACATTGTGTTTATTCATCAGTTGATAGACATTTGGGTTGTTTATTCTTTTTGACTGTGTGAATAATGCTGCTATGAGTTTCTGCATACAAGCTTTTGATAGTGCAATCTTGTAAAAAATTTAAAACGAAACTAAAACTGTTGTTACTTTTTTTGAACTCTTCTCTGCATTTGTACATATATAGAAATTAAAAGGTTCTTTGCTAGAGAGAGGGAGGATTATTAATTTGTTTTGCTTTTGTTTTTAACCATAACTGGCATTATACCAATTGTATTTTTTCTGCAGTATATATTTTTTTACTCTTAAAAGTGTATACTGGCGAGCTCTGGTGGCCTAGTGGCAAGAAGCTGCACTGCAATCCCAGAGGTATGCAGTTTGAATCCACCAGATGCTCTGCTGAGAAGGAGGGACAATCTCCTCCTGTACCAGTCAGATCCAATTTTACAGTACACACGCAAAAAAAAAAATTAAAAAAAAATGTATCCTGAAAATGTTCATTACATTTGTAGATACTTCATAGTACTATCGTTACATTTATAAAATACTTCATAAATTTGGTACCATACCAAGATTAGCAAGGGCTAAGTAAATTTTATCTGTCTGTTCAGTATGTTATTACCGAAGCAAAAGTGGTCATTCTCTTATGTGGATGAAGCAACATTTAACAGTGGGAAATTTTTCATTATGGAAGAGTAATAATACTTTGCTTTCTTCTCCTAATAATGTCTTGAGAGAATGCTAGCTAGGGCCTGGGTTTTTTTATTCTGATTTGCATAGATACTAAGTAAATCTGAATTTGTGGACCCAAGAGCCAAAAGTTAAACAATCTTCCTTTTTTCTCTCTAAAAAAAGAATGACATTTTAGAGTGTTTGTTCAGAATTACTTAATAGGCATTTAACATGTGCTGGCTATTGTTAGTCTCTGGTGACATAGCAGTAAGCAAGTACTCTTAGCGGTCTGCCAGAGTCTTACATTGTGCTTGAAAGACAAGTGCAAGTAGAAGAGGTAGTTATAATAACATATGCCAATGCCCTGGTCCTCAACTCCACCTAGCAGACCCCAGAGGCAGTGTGAAAGACAGCTGACATTCCCAAAGAAATTACAGAACTTTCTGTGCTAAAAACGAATGATTAGAGAGATGGGATAGAATGAAGGATAAATGCCTTTCTGTTCTGGAGGTTTGGGTTTGTTTTTATTAGAAATAAAGACATTTTCTTTGCTCTTTGCCAGTGAATAAGCAAGCATGCTTTTATTTAGGACCTCAAGTGTTCTTGAAGGCATGAGGGCTTTCATTCTAGTGGTGAGATGATCTGTCAGTTTTCCTCTTAAGTAAATATAATGGTCAATTATAAGTAGTTCTGTTTTTCTCTGTGGAAAGAATACTGTATATTTATAAAACTACTTCTGTTGTACTGTGATGATTTCTTGTAATGTTTGAAAATAGTATAGCTTAAGGACTTAGAAATTAATACAACATTTGTTTTATATGTCACAGGCTGCAAAACGAGAACTTGAAAGGCAGCGACAGCTTGAATGGGAACGGAATCGACGGCAAGAACTACTCAATCAAAGAAACAAAGAACAAGAGGACATAGTTGTCTTGAAAGCAAAGAAAAAAACTTTGGAATTTGAATTAGAAGCTCTAGTGAGTAAAGTTTAGTATTGTTTTAGAAATATACTAATGTTATTAAAAATAGTAATGATTTTTTTCTTTTTTAAAGAATGATAAAAAGCACCAATTAGAAGGCAAACTGCAAGATATCAGATGTCGATTGACCACGCAAAGGCAAGAAATTGAGAGCACAAATAAATCTAGAGAGCTGAGAATTGCTGAGATAACGCATCTACAGCAACAGTTACAGGTGAGAAGATGGGTTTCTAAGACCTTTTAGGCCTAAACAGTTATATGTAATCTAATACGTTCATTTGTCCATTCAGCAAATACTGAACATCCGCCATGTACTAGACACTGGAGTGTGAAGTAAGGGCAGGGCCCTTACTGAAAAATAGGATGTTGAGTAAAAAGTCAGGTAGTCTTCTGGCTACTGAGACTCCAGCGTGAACAGTAGAAACGAGGGCCTGCCTTCATGGAGTGTGCACTCCACTTGTAAGGTAGACAGACACTAACGAAACACTTAGTCTATTAGAAGGGCTATAGAGAGTTAGTAAGAGAGAGATTAGAAAATGCTGAGGGTGGAGACAGTTGTGACTTTAAATAATGTGTTTAGGACAAGCTTCTGACAGAATAGCATTTGAACACAAACCAGAAAGAGACTCACCCCTGTAGCTGTAGGCAGAGGAAATAGTACAGAATCCCTGTGGCGATAACACAGAGACCAGTAAGGTCAAAGCCAGAAGGAAGGTGTGGGGCTAGATTATGTGGCATCTTGTAGTCTACTGAAGTACTTGGCTTTTACCATGATAAATTAAAGCAAATAATTACAATGAAATATTTTTAGTGAGTATGGGAAATAGATATACAGGGAATAGTTGGAGACATAGGACAAACAAGTAAATTTAGTTACAACTTTAAGAACCATATAGGACCAAGGAAAACTGAACCATAGGCTTTCCAAGACCTATGGAGGTTGAGTGCCACATTTTCCTCCCCACAGCATCTGTGAGTGTGAACCACTGGCCTTCCAGCTAGCATGCAGGTTAGCAGCTGAGTGCACTATGCTACCAGGGATCCTGTACCGTAGGCAGTTCTTTTTTTTACATTTTTACATTTTTGTTGATGATGAGAATATACACACCAAAACATGCATCTATTCAATAGTTTGGTGACATTGATTATCTTCTTCAAGTTGTCTAAACATTCTGACCACCTTCTGAGGGCTATCATTAGCACAAACATGAACTCTTTTTTTTTAATTGCGATTTTAATGAAAGTTTATAGATAATTTGGATTTCCATTTATTCACTGTTGCACATTTTCCTCCCTGCCTCTCTTTCCTCCCAGTTCACTTTTTTCTTTGGAAAAAAAATTATTTCCCTGTTACACAATACCTCCCCCACCCCGCCCCATCAGTCCACTTTACTATGCAGCTCTTATTCTGGACTCTTGTCATGCCAGTAATACCTAATCATACATTTCTTTTATACAGTTCTCTCCCTCATCTGTTTCAATGCCGTGAACATTATTTATCCCCTCTTTTCTTAGTTCCCCCCAAACCCCGTGTTAGTCTTGTTTTATAACAGTAGCACTATGCAGTATTTGTCCTTTTGTGACTGAGATATTTCACTCAGCATAATGTCCTCTATGGTCACCCATTTTGTATAATATTTCATGAGTGTGTTTTTTTTCAATGATGCATAATATTCCATTGTGTGAGTACACCACACCTTCTCTATCCATTTGTTTGTTAATGGGCACTTGGGTGGTTTCCAGCTCTTTGTTATTATTGTGAACAAAGCCATGATAAACATGGTTGTGCATATATCTGCTTGGTCAGCAGTTCTGGTTTCTATAGGGTATGTCCTCAATAGTGGAATTTCTGGGTCAAATGGTATTTCTTTTTGCAACTTTTTGAGAAAGTGCCATACAGCCTTCCATAGAAGTTGCATAATTTTATAGTCCCACCAATAGTGAATAAGGGTTCCAGTTTCTCCCCAACCTCGCCAGCATTTGTTGTTTGGTGTTCTATTGAATTTTGCTATTGTTACTGGGGTGAGATGATATCTCATAGTTGATTTGCATATCTCTTAGAGCTAGAGATCTTGAACATTTCTTCATGTATTTGTTCGCCATTTGAATGTATTCTTTGGTGAAGTGTCTGTTCATATCCTGTGCCTATTTTGCAATTGGACGGCTTACCTTTATCTTGTTGTGGCATTACCAAATATTTTTTCCCAACCTGTGGCTTCCCTTTTTACCCTGTTGGACAAGTTTTTGGATTTGCATAGGGATTTTATTCGTAGAAGGTCCCATTCATCTATTTTATCCTCTCCTGGTTATAGGACAAACACTAACTCTTAATGATTATGCCTTTTTTACTAGTTAAGCTAAACTGTTGTGTGGTTTGAAGAAGACATGAAGGGATGCTTTTTATTAAATTTTAAATATTATATCAGGAAGCACAGCAGAAGGGCCCTGTGAGTTGGAATTGACTCATTGGCAATGCCTTTGATTTTTTAAGTTTTCTGATCTCCTTGGCTTCTGAAAGTCTGAAGTTTGTGACAATTTGAAATTCTGTTCTAGTCAGTTCTATCTTAATTTTATTGCCTGTCTGAAGTTTTGGACAATGAATAAGACTGAAGAAGAACTGATGCCTCTGCATTGTGGCATTGGCAAAGAATATCTAGTATACCACAGGTTGCTATAAGAACAAATAAATATATCTTGAAGGAAGTACATCAACATGCCCTTTCGAGGCAAGGACGGTGAAACTTTGTTTCACATACTTTGAGCATTGTCTTTGGAAATAGACGTTATGCTGGGAAAGGTGGAGGATCAGAGAAAGAAGGAAGACCCTCAACAAGATGATTGACACTGTGACTGCAAAAAAGAGTTTTAGCAAGCTAGAGATTATAAGGATGGCTCAGGATAGGGCAAGATTTCATGTTGTTCATAAGGTCACTGTAAGTTGTAGTTAACTCGTTGCCACCTAACAACAACTTCCAAAGTTGACCACCAGGTTGTTATGTTATCATCTTGTTTGGCATTCATTGTTGAGCTTGTAACCATCCAATGCATGTAGATGTTTCTGCATTTCATGTTAGGACCTCAGATATTTAGAGCAGGTCTATACAAAAGTTGGAAACAGTGAAGAAGGAATAATGGTTTGAAAATATGGGCTTGGTGATAGAAATGAAGCAGGAAACAGAATGATCAAATTTTGTATTTTCAATGATGTATTTATTGCAGATACCTTTTATAAAAGAAAATCATAGACAACAACTTTATACATGGATCTCACCTTATGGACTGCATAGGAATCAGGTTGACTACGTTTGCAGAAGAAATCATTGGAGAAGCTCAATATTGGCAGTCAAAACTATGCCAGGGGCAAATTGTCGGTCATACCATCAGTTACACATGTTGTTGTTATGTGCCATCAACTCACTTGCGACTCATATTAACACTCTGTACAACAGTCCTAAACCCTGCTCTACCCTGAGCCAACCTTACCGTCTCTGACACACCTATCCCTGTTACCCCAGTCATTGAGTCATTCCATCTCAGGCAGGGTCTTTCTCTCTTGTGCTGTCCCTCCACCCTCCCAAGCATGGTATCCCTTTCCAAGGACTGGTTCCTCCTTGCAACATGCCCAAAGTATGTCAGATGAAGCGTCAGAATCCTTGCCTCCAAGGAAACAGCCTCATTTCACCTCTCTCTTGGACAAACCTATTTATTCTCCTAGCAGGTTTGGAAGGAGGAGTGGCATCCACTATCTAAACCACTATCTAAGCGTCTGAAAACTCTATGAACTTGGAGAAACATCAGTTATAGCAAGGCTTCAGGCCTTTTGTTCATTGGGTCACTATGAGTCATGCTCAACTCGATGACAATCAACAACAACATCCCTGTAGTGAGATGTCTTGAAATACTTTTTCAAGTATTTTCAAGGCTCTTTTACAGCACCTTTAGAAAAGAGGGCTTAACATTGTCTTAATTCATGCTTGTCTTAGTTTTTAAACTCTTAGCTATTCTACATAATATTTTGAGACATAAGCAAATGTATTCCATTTCTCATGTTTTTAGTTGTTCATGAGAGATGAACTTCGTGACAATAAATTTAACCTTCTTGTGAAATCACAGTAACTGGCTTTAATTGCTGCTGAATGGACAGTCTCACTTACCCCACTTATGCCATGAGGACAGTTCTTCATTTCAGAGTCTTCTGTACCGTGATTCAAAAGATTTCCCTTCTCATGCACACCCATGTTTATTGCAGCTTTGTTCACAATAGCAAGGAGTTGGAAACAACCTAAGTGCCCATCAACAAACGAATGGCTAGAGAAGCTGTGGTATATTCGCACAATGGAATACTATGCTGCATTAAAAAACAAGGAACTCATGCAATATTATTCAAAATAGTTGACTCTGGAGAACATTATACTGAGTGAAATGTCCCAGTCACAAAGGGACAAATATTGCATGGTGCCACTGTTGTAGAATGGGACTGTCCTTGGGGTTGGGGAGAGACTGAGTAAGATGGGTTCAATAATGTATGCTGCTCTGAAACAGAGAAGGGAGAAAACTGTTTAAAAGAGATATGTGATTAGGTATTTCTGTCATGACAGGAGTCTAGAGCGATGGCTACATGGTGGAGTGGACCTGGGGGAGGGTTTGTAAAATAATGAAAGAATCTTATCTTTTACATTTCCAAGAGGGTAATGTCTTGTGGGGGGGGAGCCTTGGGAGGGGACAAATCTACAACAATGAATGAATGGAAATCCAAAGCCTCTGTAAATTTTCACTGAAATTAATAACAAATTTAAATTAAAAAAAAAAAAGAAGTTAGAGTAAGGATGGCAATGGAACCACCTTACCTCTGTAACTTGATTTGTGCCACTATTAGAACCTCTACTCAGAATATTATTGCTTTTCAATTTTTGACTCATGCACTTTTAACTTATTAGTTAAATTTGTATCTTCTAGGCTGCAACGCTTCCATGATACATCTTCAAGGATATGAACATGTACGGCTAAGCACAATTGATAACAGTGCATCTAAATTCCAAAATCAGTCTCCATAATAGTCTATGTGTTTCCTACTGCCAAGGGGGCCCTTTAGAGTAGTGAGAGAAGACATTCACCCTGAAACCCACAGTGTCCCTTTTCAGCAGGAAGTAGCTAAGAGAATACGCCATCCCCTTTTCCTTATGAATCAGGGTGAAGTCTCTCTCAGGGAGGATTGATAGGGAATGGCAAGGGACACACTGACAAAGGAGATTAATCAGAACTGGCTTTGACAAGCACTGTGGCAATTGGACAATTAAAACAGACATTGGGGGGGAAGAAGAACAAACTTGGGATGAGGGTGGAGAAAACAGTGCAACAATGAATGAATGAAAACCCAAAATCTCTGTAAATGTTTATTAAAACTAATAAAATTTAATAAAAAAAAACCAAAAGATTTCCCTTCTCAACTGCCTTGTAAATCTGTAGATATCTGTAGATACTGTCTTTCCTGTTGTTCTAAAATAGACAGTTCAAACCTGTTAACATTGTGCTTCCTTTATTACATTTTTCAGTTCAAGAGATGTAACAGGACAAATATTAATTAAAACTATTATTATAGAATAAGTATGAGGATCCAAGGGGAGGAGGGTACAGATAGAGGGATGAGGATAGGGGATGTTAATCCTGGGTTGCACAATTCGATGGGTGGATGGAGTGAAGAAAATGGGAAGGATCTTTTGTGGAAAACAATATATTCAAACTTTGTAAATAAATCAGAATAAAATTTTTAGAAAAGAGATGACATAATTTTTCACATTTTGAGCAATACCATCTCTTGAAAACAATTCACTTCAAAGTATATTTGCAGCCTTTTAAATATTTTATATATGTTGAACATAGTAATGTACTGCTCAGATTATAGATAAAATGCTATTAAACCAGCATAACTAAGTAGATATTTATGAGATAGCTCACAGAAAATATAAAAGAAACAATAGGAAATCTCTTTTGCTGTATGTGTACTGAGTATCTGGATCATTTCAGCTGAACATAAAGCAAATACAGTGTTGGCAAAACTTCTGGTATATAGCAAACTTACATTCAGCCCTATAAAATATCAAAGTTCAGAATATTAAAACTTGGGTTTAAAAACATTTACATTGCTGAGTCAGTTAAAACAACAAAACAAAACCCCAGTGTCTCTAGATTTGCATTTGATGCTGGTGTCATTCGGAGATCATTAGTTTAGCTTGCTGTCTGCTGAGTTGTACATGAAGTTCTTTTTTTTTTTTTAACAAACTTTGGAATAAGGAATATCAAGGGAGCTATAACTGTCCCAACTGTATTTCACTGAAAAGCATTTGGCAAACAGAGTGAATTCCTTGGCAGGAAAGCAAGAACCACCCTGCCTGGAGATTAAATGCAATTTCAACAGGGAGGATTTAGGGTGAGATTAGGAAAAGTCTGAGGGAAATAAATGAGCCCTGGTTGATGCCCCACCTACGCAGTGAGTCTGGACTTGGTCATTTTCCCGTCGCTCATTATTGTTTTCTGTCGCTCATTATTGTTTTCTTTTTTCTCCCAGGAGTCTCAACAAATGCTTGGAAGACTTATTCCGGAAAAACAGATACTTAATGACCAATTAAAACAAGTTCAGCAGAACAGTTTGCACAGTAGGTGTTTTATTTTTAAAGTTATTCTTTTATTTTGTCAGGAATATCTTTATGTGGAAACATTAAAAATATTTTTCCCCTCACTACACATTAAGTTTTTCTTATCTTGCATTATTTTCCTAAACCAGGAGATTCACTTCTGACTGTCAAGAGAGCCTTAGAAGCTAAAGAACTAGCTCGGCAGCAGCTCCGAGACCAGCTGGATGAGGTTGAGAAGGAAACTAGATCAAAACTACAGGAGATTGATATTTTCAACAATCAACTGAAGGTAGCTAACTACTCTGTGTCTACCACAAACCTACCCTACCCTTAAATTTTTTAGCTGGCCAGATGATTAGTTGATGTTGAATCCCAGGCAGAAAAATGTATTATTCTGGTTTGTCAGCCTTCACATTAATAAATGTAAAGTGTACAAGTCAATTTGCAGTTTTCTCTTTGGAGAAAAAAAGTGCAAACTGACTTTGGCATCTATAAGGTAGCACTGAGGGAGTGACCCCAATGTGGTAACTATCTTTAATCTAAATTACACTTGCACACATTTCTATCCCTGTGTCCATTTATGTGGTAGCTATCTTTAATCTAATTTATACTTTGACACATTGTCTGTTCCTGTGTTTGTTTACAACCACATCAGAGTGAATTCTAGAAACTAAGGCATTAAACTTCATCTTTCTTGTATTCTTAGAACACTATTAAAACTGAAAATATTAGAAGCATAGTTGAGATTTTTAGTTGAAATTTGAATTGAGATTTAAAGCCAAACTGTCTAGACATCTAAGTTTCAGGTATTTCAGCTATTCTTTCAAAATGATAGGTAATGAAGTTTTCTGAATAGTCCAATTCCAGGAAAGTGTTCTTAGGGAAAATATTTGAGCCTACTTAGTGATGTTTTGGTTTTCTTTTCACTTTATGTTAATACTTATTACATAGTGTGTGTGTGGGGGGGGGTGCTCTATGTGTGTACTGTGTATTTCTTCTGTATTGTATGTATGTGATTATGCATGATATATAAGTACTAGACATGTATCTGTAAGTTTTCCACTTAATATAAGCACAATAAAGCTATTTCCTTTAGTTCTTATTGTGACTTGTCAGTATGACAAACAAAAAGATTGTAGCTTGTCCGCAAGTATTTTAACAATCTTGGAGTATAAATTAAGTATTTCATTATCCCTGTCCCTTGAGCTCAAAGCATAACACATATTTCTCCTTTAGTATCGATCTCTTTTTCTTTCTTTCTTTCTTTTTAATTAACTTGTCTCTCTGAAAAAAATGCTTACTTATTAGGAATTGATACTCTAGTAGGTGATTTTTTACAAAGTTATGTGGATTTACACATAAATTATTTTGGAGTTGCTATTGCCATACTAAAGAGGTCTGAATCACCCTTGTTGACCTTAGTAAGTACCAGGGACTGTACTTTGTACAGAAGGTCATTTAGGCTTTTTTTCCCCCCTACTTTGTTCTTCCTGGAAAGGGTTAAACCAGGCTGCTCTTTGGAGGCAAGATTTCTGAGGCTTCATCTGACATACTTTGGACATGTTGTAAGGAGAGAGAGGTCCTTGTAGAGGGACATCATGCTTGGGAGGGTGGAGGGACAGCACAGGAGGGGAAGACCCTCTATGAGGTGGATTGATTCAGTGACTGGGGTAATCGGGATGGGTGTGTCAGAGGCAGTGAGATTGGTACAGGATAGAGCAAGGTTTAGGGCTGTGTACATAGGGTCGCTATGAGTCACAAGCGACTTGACGGCACATAACAACAGTAACAACAACTTTGTTCTGTGGAACAACTTTGAGTCAGAATGGTCTTGGTGGCAGTGGATGGTATCATTTTAATTTTGGTATTTTGTGAACATTTACACAACAAATTGTGTTCACATTTAATGATCTTCATGTAAATTGCTCAATGACATGAGTTCCTTTAACAAAATGTGTCAATATTTTCTTTGTGTTCTCTTTGTCCCTTTATGATACTCTGTTTTTCTTGATACCTTAGTTTCTCATCTTTGTATTTAAGAAGTTGTCTTTTTATTCTTATGCTGATGTTTTTAAGAAGGTACTGATCTTGTGTGTGCTGTCCATTGTTTTGTGTGCCACTCTGCTGTTGCACTACCAGGGAATCTCAGAAGATGGATTTAGCTCCAGATTTAAAGACTGGTCTCAGGGGTCCTTTGCTTTCTACTGTCCCAGTGTATCTGACTTCCTCCCCCCCCCAAAAAAAGAAAAATTTGAGTTCTGCACCACGTATTTCTCCCATTCTATCTATGTGGCTATCTATCTATACTGTGACTGCAGCAAGGGGTCCACGTGTATCAGAGATGGTGAGAATGACACCATTCGGGTCTAGGGTTGCTATGAGTTGTACTTGACTTGACGACATCTAAAAACAAGAGCAACCTTTGCAATTCTGGTAAAAAGTGGCGGTGATATTAACTGGACATCACTTTGCTTTTCTGGTCTCAGCATAGATGGTTGTTGTGCTTGTATGCTTGTTTCTTCTTTGCATTTTTTGATTACCTTATTGGTTACTTTTATTCTTGAGCACCTTCTGTTTTGCTACTAATGACCATAGTTGTGACTTAGGTGGTAGCTCACAGGCTTTAAGATGCCTAGCCAGGTACTACTCACTTTACTACTGTGTAATTTCTAATTGTTATGTTGTTCCATGGGACTGGGCCTAACCCTTCAAACCCAGTGTATTTAACTTTTAAGTGTTGTTGTTGATTGCCATTGAGTCCAAGCACAACTCATAGTGACACTATGAACAAAAGACCTGAAGCTTTTCTATTACAATCGTCGTTTCTCAAAGTTCATAGAGTTTCCAGAGGCATGTTGTTTAGGAAGTAGATGCCACTCCTGCTTCCAGAATTTTTAGGTAAGAAAATTTAATTTCTGTCCTTTAAATGTGTTTTGTTTTCCATTATTTTAAATTTGAGCTAGTATAGTGAGTTAATATGCTACTGCAAATGATGGTAAAAAATGTGTGTCTAAGCATGGTCATCAATTTAAAAGTGTGAGGCAGCATGTTAAAAAAAATCAGTATAGCCTTGTTTTGTTGTTTAATGCCCATTTGAAACCCTTAGTGACTTCACTGTGCTGCCTCTGATGGTTATGTCTTGTGTACCTCTCCGACCTATTGAAACTAAAACAGAAGCAGTTAAATTAAAGAATCAAAAGATTTAGAATTTGAAACAACACAGAGGCAGATTTAGTCTCTATTTAGTATCTCCTGCCCATTTTTCTTTGTTGAGGAACCTTTTTCTGACTTTAATACATGTATTCATTATCAACTGTAATTTCTTGTGTGGTATATATCAACAAGGAAATACTAGCATCCTGACTCTTGGGATTTATTTGATGCCTCTCTTGATCAGTGATGTTTTTACAGACTCGGTGCTAATGATGCAAAAATTACTCTTACCTTGCAGAAAGTGAAACATTGGCACTTGTCCAGACATCCCACACATCTAATATGATGGTGTGAATTTGCTGTGTTCTAAACATTCTTCCCCAAAAGGAAACCAGATGGAGAGGAAATAAAAGAAATCAGGACTTAGCAATTGTGTTTGATTTTCATAAAGATTGTGCACTTAGGAAAAGAAAATATAGTTAATTCATTATAGACTTGTTTATCGATATTGAGAAGTACTGCATAGCATGTGTATTTGTATGTTAGTTGACCAAGACACATTAATTTACATTAATTCCCCATTTCTACAAATGAGAATGAAATATAGCGAAAACCAGATATCATGATTCTGCAGTTAAACAAACAAACAAAATGCTTACCACAATTCACTTTATTTGGTGCATATTTAATGTTATGTTCCAGTTCCTTGTGTAGAAAGGTCATATTGGGAGTAATAGTACCCTGCTGTCTCCCAGATTTTGTGGTATATTACAGGATTGCAGAATATAAGTGTGTTAAGCTTCTTGAAAGTTTAAAGAGTAATTTTACGATTTTCTCTCTTTTTTTTTCTTTTAAGCATACAATGTATTTTAGTCCTCAACATTAAAATGTCTAGTTTAGATTCATTTTTCTTTTGAGGGTTTCTCTTATTGGCTTCAGTTCAGAAAGAATTATACTCCCACCTTCTGAGATCCAGTAGCCAAAGATAGTGTCATTTCCCATGAGTTGGAACTGACCAACTCATAGCTGACCCTCCAGCAGGTTTTTAGAGATGCAGGAGAAGATTGCTCATCTTTCTCCTGAGGAGCGACTGATGACGTGAGCCATCAGAGAGGCACAGCGTCCTTTGGGTTAGCAGTTCACCTCCCTATCCACTATGCCACCTGGGTTCTCATTTGACATTAGGAGTCTTCTCTAGAGTCTTGGGACCTTAAAAGTCTGTCTGTTCATATAGAAAGTGAGGCCTCATTGTTTCCTTTCAGAAGAAGATATTAATGGCTTTTAACCATATTCATAAGGTCCCTGGATAGTGCAGATAGTTTACTACTGAGTGAGAAGACTCATCAACCACCTGCATTATGCAGATGACACAGCCTTGCTTGCCAAAAGCAAGGAGGCTTTGAAACACTTGCTGCAGAGGATGGAAGACTATACCCTTCAATATGGATTACATCTCAATATCAAGAAAAAAAAATCCTCAACACACTTAACACAAGCAGTCAAGAAATCAAGAGATGTATCACCCTGGGTAAATCTGTTCTCACGGACTATGTTACAGTGTTAAGGACCAGTGATGTCCGTTTAAAGACTAAGGTACATCTGATCCAAACTGTATTCTTTTCAATTACTTGTTATGCATCTGAAAGTTGGATGGTGACTAAAGATGGCAGAAAAATCAGTGCTTTTGAGTTGTGGGCTTTGGAGAATAGTACTGAGTATTCATGGCCTGCCCAAAAAGCAAACATATGTCTTGGAGAAAGTGCAATCAGGTTGCTCCTTGGCAACAAGGACGGTGAAGCTTTGTTTCACGTATTTTGGGCATGTTGTTAGGAAGGTCTTTTGGAAAACCACATCACGAAAGGTAGACTGTCAGCAAAAGAGAGACTCAACGAGGTGAACTGTAGCAAGGGGCACAAGAATATCCAAATGATGAGGATGACAGTGAGTAGGGCAGTGCTCAGGGCTCTTGTTCATAGGCTTGCTATGAGTCATAGAAGGTTTGACAACACCTCATAACAAGTGTCTGAGAGGTTGACTCAAGCCTGTTATCTCAGGTATGAATTTAGCCTGTGATGACCCCATGGGCTGCAGTAGAATTGTGTTCCACAGGTTTTTCTTAGCTATAATCTTCACAGA